ATTTAAGTATGTGTGTCATGTACGTAACCACTTTACCAGGTTTTCCTGGGCTAGGGTACTTACTTCGAAGAGACCAATTGAGGTCACATCTTTTTTGTTTGATCTTTTCTATACAATTGGGTCATCACCAACTATATTACAGTCGGATAATGGTAAAGAGTTTGTTTCGCAAGTCATTAAAGGGCTTATTGTTCTATGGCTGTCAGTAAATGTTATTAATAGAAGGCCTCATTACCCCAGTCCCAAGGATTGGTTGAACATGCAAACAGAATTTTAGAACAAAAGCTGGGCAAATGGAAGTAAACAACTGGTAGGAATGATTGGTCTTTTGGCTTAAGGTTAAAATTATATTTTGAAATATTTTATGAAATGTAATCTTATATAATAAATAAAGTTTTGATATTGCAGAAGTTTGATTTATATTATCATGTTAAATATGATTTGTATTGTAGTTTAATCATTATAGTTTTGAAATTGCATGTGAAACTTATACAAAACTATAATAATTTAATATTTTTTTTAAGGTTCGTAGTTATGGCCATGAACAATTCATGGTTTCGTGCACATAAAAAGACATCTTCTGAACTTGTCTATGGAGATAAGCCTCGTGGAAACTACACTCTAATTAATGAACTATGTGCAAATAATATTTGTAATGAGGAAGAAATCCCTGATAAAATTGAAGTTCAATCTGAAAATATAATAAATCTAGATTATGATATGGATGGTAAATTTTTATTTTGGATTTTATTTTTATCTACAGTATTTACTTGATATATTTATAATATATTAGATCAAGGTTTAGAATCGGAGTATTTAGAATCATCATATAAAGAACCATCGTCTCCACAACTATCATCTCAGGAGCAATCGTCTCAAGTACCAGCACCAGCACCTCAAGCATTCTTACCTAAAACACCACCACCTCAAGCACTATTATTGTCTCAAGTATCATTATCGCCTCAAGTATCATCATCGCCTCAAGTACCTTATATTCATCCTTCTCAATTCCAATTTCATTTATGTAGCAATATCTAACAGAATTTATTGCATCAGCAGTACCCATGTTAGAGGGTCTTTGATAATAGAACTCTTATATCTATCCTTTTTAACTCCAATTCATTTTTTGATAGCAATATCCAAGATTACCTATTCCATTAGGATTACCCAGATTAGCAGATTTTTGATAATAAGTAAATAACTTGTTTTTATACTTATCAATTTTTGACAATAAATGATTGCTTTATTCATCCTTTTCAACACCAATTCCTTTTTTATAACAATATCCAAAGTTGTTCATTCATATGGCATGGCCAATTTCAATTGACTTTTGATAACAAATCAATGCCTTATTATTATTCAAATTCTATTTTGATAACAACGATCGATAAGACTAATTCAATAACAATCTCAATACATGCTAATTGTTGTTAGTAAATAAATGCTTATTGTCTTTTCACTCCAATTTCATGCCACATCAAAAGCTAATATCACACATTCCATTAGAATTTTCTATCTCTGCTGCCTTTAATTATTAAAAATGCTTGATTATTATTTTTAGCCATTACAAATTGATAATAAATTGACAGAATATGTTGAACGATAAAATTGGTTTGAATAATAGTGTTAGTTTGGTTATTTAAACTTAAGTTGATTATTGCTTCTTGGTTTTGCTGCTTATTTATAAAGTACAGATCTATTGAATAAATAATTGAGCCATTATAGTTTCCTTTCATAATTCCTTATTATTGTCTGCTACACATTTAATAACTATACATTACACTGATCATGCCAAAATCAATAACTTATCGAGTGGCCAAATAATCATTCGGTCAATTTTGACCATATGTTCCTAAATTTATGAGAACAGCTGTAATATTAGATTCAAATCACTGCACTAGCCTATTCATTATATGTTCTTTCGTATTTGATGTATATAATTAATTTAAAAAAAAAAACTATAAAAGAATTCTAAATTTTTAAAAGCAGATGCTTTGATCTAGGTCAGGATACTTGCAAAAATGTTAAAAAAGCCAAATAACATTAATTGGTAAAATACAGCAACAGAAGGAACCGTTGTTATTACACGAAATCGGTACACAATTTATGAAAATTTTTTTTACATTATTTTACAATACTTTTTGAAAGGCTCTCTTGCCTTATCCTTTCTATGAATATTGAAAGTGGTTAAACAAACATGGAGTTTCACTTGGTTTTACAACATTTTTTTGAATCCCTTTGAATCCCATCTTTTTTGTAAATTTCCTATATCGATTTTTTTGACTGGTCAATAAAATTAGTGATCTGTGTAACTGAGGACGAAACCATATCCGTCTTTGGACGGTAATGCTGCACGGGCATATGCATAAGCATTTGGGCATTGAGACTATAATATAAAATGTTTTCATTCTTATAATACACCGTTTCCTTTTATCCATTTTTTCGCTAAAAATGAATGCAAATCTTGGCATTATTTAAATAGTCAGTTGATCAATTTTACTAAATAAAATATTACATGTGAAATTTTAGCGTAGTACTCATGTTCTTATTATGCTTACCGCATTATAAGCATTCAAGTAGCATTTTGTAAAGAAACTTCTAGGAACTTTTAAGTTCTCTCATGTGCATCGTAACTTTTATTATATAAAATAAACAGAATATATTTATAACTTTATTATAAAAAAAATTATGGCTACATCATGGTCGTTAAGTGCAGATTTTTCTACTATAAACCCTTATTCTGTATGGTCTTATGGCTATAAGCCGCCTGGTTATCAAGTTACCGGGACATTTGTTTTGTTTACGCACTTAGTACCAGACCCAAAAGGCAGTGGAGTAGTCATTTGGGTCCCTCATGAAAACACACCTCTAAGTTTATCTTATAATCCTAATCCAATAACTACCATTTTAGATGCTGGTAGTAGTAAAATAACATATCCGCCACATGGTGTAGTCATGCATCCTTCCTATGACGGTAAATTTTCTGTAGCGAGGTTTACTGCACCGACGAATGGGAATTATATTCTAAGCGTCATGTTCACGCATGTTGATGATCATGCAAATTTTATACATACGGGTGGTTATATCGTATACAATAATTCCTTGACACTTTGGGAAACTGACTTATTTGGTATCGGTGATTTCAAATCGTACAAGTCGACTATCACTGTCAGAGAAAATGAAACTATCGACTTCATTATAGGAAATGGTCTAGACAACGTTTGTTATTGTGATTCGACTCTTGTCAATGTTGAAATTCATTTATTACCGAACAATTCAACAAATGAACAAATTCCTATGGCTGCGATTTTATTAGGATTTATATTTGGTTTAATTTGTTATTTGATTATACATGTACTCTATTTTTGTTAAAGAATGCCTCCATTTATGAGCCATTGCTTAACACTTAACTAATAGATACATCTATAATATAATTTTTTTTTTTGTGATCACAATTAAATATATTAAGAATAAATTTCCTTTGTACAATTAAAATATTTTTTTTAGTTTTTAAGCAAGAAATTTTTCGAGATACTGATTCTAATTTTGAGTTATCCTATATTAATGTGGGTGCATCTGTTGCATGTTGGATTTGTATATTTCTTTGGATATATAAATTTTATTTTACTGATTTATTAGTATATGATATATTATTAATTTAAGTTTTAAATATAGCTAAGATTGACTTAATTTCTATATTAGAATTTGGGTCAAAATTTCTATAATATTAACTATATGCTAGAATCTGAGCAGAGTTTAATGAAAAGTATTTTTTTTATTAAATTAACAATCAAAGTTAATTAATTAAAAGTTGTAAAACTTACTGAGACATATCTAATAATAGTTAGATCATTCAAATTGGTCTAGTAGATATTGAGATATCACTAAAAAATAATTGGTTAATTATATAAAATTCTATGAAACTACCTGAAGGCTTGGGATAATGACAGTCAGACCCAACGTACAGGGCAGACTACAAGCTCTTTGGAAACCGTGAGAACCGGGTATACGGTGAGCGACCATGTAAAAGATACTAACCTGACAAGTTTGCAACCAATATCTTTAGAATCCTGCAACTTGTCAACATGCTATAACAAATTTTTACAATTTTATAAACTACCAATAATAA